CCATGACCACATGTCATGGATGAATCCTATCAAGCATATGATGCTGGCTAGAAATTAATAATGGTTTGTCAAATCCCTTTGATTCCCTGACTTTTCTTTTCCTACCTTAACTTGCTCAAAAATAAATGATTCTGTAATGCATTTACCTTTGACTAAAACTTTAACTTGTTTTTTGGGCTTTTGATTTCTTATTTGCAGATGTTTTTTGAGATCCCTTTCAATTACTTGGCTTGCCAATTGTATTTCTTCTCGAACTAATTGAGGAGTGATGAATGATTGAAGTTGAGATGCTGTTAATGGAGTTTTTTGAGATCCCTTTCAATTACTTGGCTTGCCAATTATATTTCTTTTCGAACTAATTGAGGAGTGATGAATGATTGAAGTTGAGATGCTGTTAATGGAGTTTTTTGAGATCCCTTTCAATTACTTGGCTTGCCAATTATATTTCTTTTCGAACTAATTGAGGAGTGATGAATGATTGAAGTTGAGATGCTGTTAATGGAGTTTTTGGTACTGCTTGTGCAGACGTTGATGGAGTTGCTGATGCTATTTGAGCAGATGTTAATAGAGTTGTTGGTGCTGGTTTTGGTGCTGGTGGTTGAACATTGAGTGGTTGGAAAAATGTTGAAGAATGGGATGGTAAAATTACTAAGTCAATATTATACTTTCGACAGTTGAATTACTGCCATAGAAAGATGAGGTAAATGACCATCAGCTATTAAAACTACTTGGCCTTCACAATTTGTATTTTTAAAGGAAATGAAGATAATCCATTGTACAAATTGATCCTCCTCCATACAACCACAAGGGGCCACAGTGTAGTACGTACCTGAAGGTCCACCAATACTCCATTGAGCCTAAAAATCTTTTGCTTTGTAGACAACAAAAGGTGGCAAATAATCACCGTTGGCATTGCAGCAGTTATTGACAGTTATTGACAATAGTGTAATGAACTTTTTTATTATTGCCACCAATAATAATTGGTCGCCTTGCTCCTCTTCTAATTAAGACTGTTTTTAAACTGTGATCAAAATCAAACCCGACCTTGTCACAGTTGAATATATTTTGCGGTTTGTCATACATCAGCTTTTTTGGAAGTTGTTTGAAGTGTTTTAAAAAATCCATCAATCACTTGGTGTATGAAGCCACTTGTCCTGCTGAAATGCTTAGTGCTTTGCGTTGACTTAATTCATTTGACCAGCGTTGTTTGAAACCTAGGTACCTCTGGTTTGTTGGCATTTCATTCTTGAAAAATGCAGTTTGATTTGTTTTTTTTCAAATAGTTAAACACCACAGATTAAGTTTTTGGGAATGATAAGCCATAGCCCCAATTACCTAGAACTTAAGGCATGTGAACCAGTAAGTATTCAATCACATAGCTAAGATTTGTTAATGTACTAGCCCCAGCTATCCTTTCTGAATATTGAATTCTACCTCCTAGTGTCCTTCAAGGTATACAATATTATTTTGCAGCTCGCTTGCAACTCAGTTCACCAGATTTAACTTTTGAAATGGCTTTTTCCATTAGCTCATTGCTATATAATTGGTTATAATTGCTTTAATTTAAATTTTTTTTTAATTTACTTTTTATTTAAATTTTTGTAATCACTAGTTTAATGTTTGCAATAGAATGTTTCTTTTTTTAAAACTATTTTCAAGAAACAAAATATAATTAACTATTCAAAATGTTTTTAACTTCCTTCCTCACTTGTACTATTTACTTGCACTATGTTCTAAATCTTATATTGTTACTGTAGCTAGATATATGTTTAACTTTCAGAAATGATTCTCACTGCTGGGTATTACAAACTGGGTATTAAGGATGCTGCTGAATTACATTTATAATTATTGAGTGTTAAATTTTTTTTTTAAATTTTTCAATTTTTTTCAATTTCAAATTTCAATCGCAAAATTATTTGAATATTTTAGAAGACTAAAATTCTTTTTGTTTGTTGTAAATTTCTTTTTAAATAAAATTCCTAAAAACAATAGAAAATATTTGATCTTGATATCGCTTTAAATAAAATATAAAAAATTTGCGTTTTTTATATTCTATTTGAGATTTCTTGTTAAAAAATTATTTTTTGTTATAAGCTTATATTATGTGTTATCATCATATAAGATATAAATAAAAATATTTATATGGATACTTTTTTGCGAGTCTTAAAGTATATTAAGTAAATTTAATAGTTGAGTAACTGTAAATTACTGTAGTAACTTAACTGGTTGTTTTGATTTAGCTTAACAGTAAATTTACTGATGATGTACTTTACCCATTCAGTAAATAAAAATTAAATATAACTTTAAAATAATATTGGCTTCCACGCAGAGGTTTAAAGTAATTTAAATTCAAAAGCACTTTATGTTGAATAAAATCTCAACGCAAGAGAGCAAAGATCATACTTCTATTTAAAAGATAAATTTAGCATGATGTACTTTATGACCTCTAATATAAAACTTACTTTTAAGAATGGCTGGAAAAAAAACAACCTAAATTAGAAAGAAAAAAAAAAATTTACAAAAACACAAACAAAAAAAACAAACAAAACGCGAAAATATTAGGAAAAAAAAAACTAATACTAAGGTGCAAAAAGCAATTGCGATTCTTGATCGCGATACCCTTAATTTGAGCCCTGCAACTCTTACCATATAACATATATACATGGTGCATAGGAACATGCTCTGAGACCTTGCAACGCATCCCCAAAAATTTTTTTGTTTGTTATCAGAAGACTCTTCCTTATTTCAAAAATATAAAATACAACTTTTTTCACTGGGAGCCTAGGGAGAAATACATATTTTATATTGAGCTAACCCAAACCCGTCCTGATCCGGAAAAGCCCCTAGAAGCTTCCTAGAACTTCATTTCCTAAGATAATAAATTTTTATAATTAAGATAAAAAATGAGATTAATATTATACTTTTTACAAGCTACTTGCAAATTGAAAGCTGCTTTAAAAGTGTTTGTAGTTCTTTAACTTTTCTCATTCACATAATGATTGAAATCCTGGTGAATGGATTTGAGAGCTTGTTTGGTCCAGTAACCTAAGCGTACAGAAATGTATAAAATAAGTTTTAGTCAATTTAATGAATAATCGTCATTAAATTGACTATTGTAATAATAAGTATTTAGTTACTTTTATTATAATTAAATAATATTATTTTAATCTTTTGTCAAACTTAAAATTTATTTATCATACCGAAGACTCCACCTTCCATGTCAATGAATACGATTATATGTTGCTCAACTATGTTTACTACTTTCAAAGGAATTAAAGCCTCTAGATTTCTATAGCTTGTAGACAACTGCTCTATATCTTTGACATAAATAGAGTTTAATAATTTTCCAAAACACCCATGGACTACTTTTTCAAAATCTCCAAGTACCTTAATGTATTTGGATATGGGATCTCCAAGACTGGACTCAAAAAACACCTCAAAGCTGTCTATGTTTTTAAGCAACTTATTGCAAGCATTGCCTTCTAAACGACGCTGCCCTTGGTAGGATACCATTCAGATGTTTATTGTAGACAAATATCGGTTGACAAACTGTAACTCACATTCCTTGTTTTCAAACATTTTTTCTCTTTTAAAATTTTATCTATAACACCTAAAAGTATATGTCGACTGGGAATATATACAAGCTCTATTATCTTTTTATTTTTGTCCCTTGTTAAAAAGGGGGTTGAATAGCATTTGTGAACATTTTTGCATTTTTTAATTTTGCACTATCAGATATTGATTGGTAATATAATCTGCACAAAGATTCTAAAGAATAATGATCAGCTTTTTGAAAGTTAGGAGATGAGGTCATGCAAAACAGACAAGGGTTCTTTGATGTTGCAGTTTGTTTTTGAATCCATTCACCAGAATTTCAATCAGTTTAGGCAAATGAAAAAAGTTAGAGAACACAGCCCAAACTATATTGAAGGGCTAAAAAACGCAGTTGTTGCTTACAACTACAAACACTTTTAAAGTAGCATTTAATTTGTTGGTAGTATTATACTTTTTGTATAATATTATAATATTATATATTTTGTATAATAGTATAATATTATTCTTTTATGAACAATTGTTTAACATAATTTCTTAATATATGATATGATGATATATGACATGCAAAATAAAAATAATAATTTAACCACATAAACCAGAAGTTTTTTTTTTACGACGATAAACTAGTTTGCAGTTAACCCATTTGGACCCCTAATACCCCACCCCTAATGAATGGTTCCTTAAAAGAATTTTTCAAATTTTTTTTTGTGTTATATTAAACTAGATCAAAATTCATCGACAGATTTTAAATTTCATCAAAAAACAATTTCTAGTGTAAAAGTTACAACCTTTCAAAGTTATTTAAGGGGGTAAATTTGTGGAGTTTTTTCTTTCTTATGGTCATAAATCTTAATTGAAAAGATATTTTTTGATGACACGTGAAATATGTTGATAAATTTTGGTCTAGTTTATGGTAAAAGAGAAAAAGAATTTAAAAAAAAATTATTATCTTAGGATATTTAGTTCTAGGAATAGGGCAATTTGGGGTTGGGACAGGGTTAGGTTAGCTCAAATTACCTAAACTTTTTGCAATTCATCCTCATTTGATACCAGTACTAACATACTAAAAATTTGAGTATGCCACATAGCTCTTGAACAACAAAATTACTAGGCACTTGCCTAAAAAATGTGATTTTTCCTTAGGCCCCCGGTGAATTTTTTTTTTTTACATTTTTGAAATAAGGAAGAGTCTTCTGATAATAAAGAAAAAAAAAGTTCTGGGGATGTGTTGCAAGGTCTTAGAGCATCTTCCTATGAACCGTGTATGAATAAAACTGCATCAAGAAAAACAATCCAAACTACTTAAGTATGAAACCAGGAAATTAAACTTGGAAAAATAAAGTTGCTTACTAAAACATAATCTGAGCATATATTATCTCAGGAGTTTAACAAATTAAAAATACATTCTCTTTTTTAAAATGACATATTTTATTTATTAATTTTAGATATTTGAAGCTGATCTTGAAGAAATGAAGTTACATCTCGAAGGCCAGGTAATTTTTTTTAATTGTGGAATTTAATGTATATTTTATAGCATTACTTTTGCAATAAAAATATATTTTTTGTTTTATGAACTTATTAACTTTACTATATATAGATACCAGAACCAATGCTATATATAAGGTACCAGAAGCTTTCTCTTTGCCGGTGCATCATGAACAAATAGTTTGATTAGGGATGATTGATTAGACTGGTAGTCTAAACAATCATCCCTAACATGTACTTATTTAATAAACAGAGCGAAATGGTCTCTATATACAGACACAAAAACAAATTTCTGTTGTTCTTCTTATTCTTCTCTACACTGATAATTAGATGCCATTATTAAATCTTATTTTTTCTTTTGTTAGATCTTAAATCATTATAGAGATATGCCAGAACTTGTTCCATTGTATTTGTTATTTTTTCAAACATTTTTTATTTCAATTTTAGTATTTGTATTTTATGGCTGATGATTGCCTACCAGACATGGAATTTCAAGTCCCATAATTTGTTATTTTTCTTCATTATATATATATGTAATATATATATATATATATATATATATATATATATATATATATATATATATATATATATAAACACAAACGCATTTATATGTATATATATCCAGTTCAAAAATAAAATTATGTCTTTCTGTTTCAATACAACTGCATCAAACACAAGTTTACTACCACGTTAGTATTTCTATTATGTTTTGTTTTTTGGTAAAAATAATGGGAAGAGCTGATCTTAACCATTTGCATTCATGTCTATATTTTTTTTTGGGGGGGGGGGGGGGCTTTTTAATTTTTTTTCAATGTACTTTAAATATAAAACGTTTTTGTATTTGTTGATTTTTTATTTAAAGAAAGACTATTTTATGGTTTTTATCTAAGATTTTTTATCAGTTGTTTTTAAACAATGATAAGCTACAACCATTAAGTTTACTTCTTCATCTACTTTTGTTTCTAAAAGTTTCAATGAGGTCTTGACTAGAAGCATATTCTGCACTGTAATGTAGAACAAAAAGGTCAGAAAAAAAATCTTTTATAATCTAGAAATAAGTATATAATATATAACAATATATACACGTAGCACATAGCCGCAATAAGTTTTGGTTTGATGAACTGGTTTTCATCCATTCTATCTAAAGTAATGTCATTTTTAACAAGTCAAAGAAAAATCAGTTTTCAGGTCCAAAAAATCTTTAACTGTTATAAAACTTGCAGACTTTTCTTTTTGAGCTAATTCAAGAGCTAAATTACTTTAAAGATAAAGAATAAAAAAAGGAACAATATACTTTTTAAATTTTCTAAAAGGATGGAGATACTGACTATCTTATTATCTCCATTATTGCAAGTATCTAAACATTTTATTGTCTCCTCAAATTTTTTACTAACCAACCTTTGTTTGTTTCCTAATGGACTCTTATAGCCTTTAAATTTTTTTCTTACTTCACTTTCTAGTTTGCAAAATTTTTTTCGCGCAACATTTTTTGAACATGCAATCCTTTCTGATCATTGAGAAAATTTACATCTTTTCGTCTACTTTTTAAAACTTGTGTTTTATCTTTCAAGATGATGAGTTTTTTTATTTCTCATTAAATAAATCTACCTCTTTTAAAGCCACATTTTTGCCTTAATGGTTTTGTGTCTGTTTAAATTCTTTCTATTTCTTTTTAAGTCAACGTTCTTGTCTTTAAATGACATATCAAAAGTAAAAGAGTTCATCAAAGATATTGTAACTAAAAACATTTATATATTGATATTTTTATCATAAAAACATATTATTATATTAAGTCAATTTAAATTTGGGCTGAATCGTAAATTTATAAGCATTTTACTATAATATATTAAACATCTGATATGTTAGTCAGTATTTTCTTCACCTAATAAAGGACGCACGGTAAATTTTTTTACCAACCTCAAAAAAAAAGACAACCTCCTATTTCAATACATTAAGCCTTTAAAAAATAGACATAAAGTTATATTAATTGTAGAAATGTTTGGAAAATTAACACAGAATAACCTCTGCAATACAGTTTTCTTAATAAGCAAGTGTTATTAGTTATGTATTATGTGTAATGTGTTATATATAATTTCAATTCTTTATCCAACATAAAACTTCAGAATGAGATATTTTGTTTTATCAATTGTTTGTTGACATTTTTTTTATTTACAAAAAATTAAAAAAATTCTCCCCCTATCCTCCCTCCTCCCCCTATCCTCCCTCCTCCCCCTCCCTCCCACTCTCAACAACCCATAGAATCATTTGAAACAAGAAAATGAAGAAGCAAACTTAATGGTTGTAACATATTGTTTAAAATTTAAAACAACTAATAAATAATCTTGGATAAAAACCATAAAATAGTCTTTCTTTAAGTAAAAAATGTACAATTAGAAAAGCATTTTATATTTAAAGTACATGGAAAAAAAATAAAGCCCTTCCCCCAGCCTTTCAAATATACACATGATTGAAAATGATATCTTGAAAAAAGTTGTTTGGTAAACTGTTTAGAAGTCTTTTATTTTTAAAAAGTTTTTCTTTTTACAGGGTGTTGTTTCTAACACAATACAAGAGTTTTTTAATAAAAGTTGTAGCACTGTAATCCCATTGAAGAGAAGCATATTATCACTTCAAGAGGTTTGTATTCATGAATTTTTAAAAAGTTTTATGTAAGTATATAAAGTTTATAATAAATGTTTATGAAGTTTATACATATATGTGGATTATAACAAAAACTACCAAACATTTTAATATTTTAATAGGGTGCTATAAACTAAATGCTGTTTTTGTTGCTTCATAAATTTTATAAACAAGTGCTTAAGGATTGTTTAAGCTTTATGTCAATTATTATAGTTTTTGCTTTAGGTTGATGGATATTTAGAAGAATTATCGAATGTTACAAAGGAAGAGGCACAAATCAAAGTACTTACAAAAATTTGCAAAAGGTACAATTAAGTCAACCAAAGTAGAGAGTGTAGTGTCTTCTCAAATTCAATTTTAAAATAGCTGTTTAAATATTGTCAAATTTACCAAATATTGTCAAGGTCATTTTTTTTTAATCAAAAATAGTTTGTTTGTTTTTTTAACAATTATTGACTGAATAAATGACTGAATTGAATAAACTAATATTTTTATATATTTATTTTTTATATCAAATTTTTTCCCTCTGTGTAAATTATCTGAAATATTTGAAAATTTTTGAAACTTTCTTTTCTTTTTTACTTTTCTTCTTCTTCTGAAAAATTGTCCTAAAAAGCGCAAGATTAAAGATTTTTGGGCAATAGTTAAAGATTTTTGGGCAATAGTTAAAGAAGTTCATCATTAGACAAGTAAAGTAACAAAATAAATAAGACTTCCAAAAAAAGTGGTTTAATGCCACCAATAAGGTGAAAAAGAAAAAATCTGCGAAATGATGGCATCAACTCGCTATAAAATTTGATCTCTTGCCAAATAGCTCGTCAAGCCCCTTAAAGTTAAGTTGAAATTATTTGATGTAAACACATTTTATATAAAAGAAAGTTGAAATAAAAAGCATTTATGGTTTTAGAGAAATCTCAATTTAAAGTTGACCAGCTTTTTCTATGTCCACTCGGTATGTTGTGAATAAAATGATTAAATTGTCACTGTAAAGATAAAAATAATTTCTAATTAGTTGTTCTTGATTTTAATGCTTCTTGAAATTTATTTTCAATAAAAAAAGTCAAATTTTGGTTAAAAGTATAGTAGGGTTGTCTTTTAGAATTAATCAAATCAAAAATATTTTATTGTTAAACTATAGATTAAAAAATATTTATTCCTTAGATGTTCCAATTTCGGCTGCTCTCGGTTTGGATAAATATGAAAGAAATTTGTATGACAGCATATAAATAAATTCAAACATAAATGTTTATATCTTTATTATATATCTATATTATATGCCAGTACATATATATTTAAAAAATATTATTTAAAAGTATTAAAATTATTTTAAAAATAGTAAATGTATGCATAAATTTATATGTAATGTATATTAAATTTTTTCCTAGCCCTGGCTATCAACCCTTGCCAAATCTTATAATTTAGCTGGGACTAGATTTGTAAAAAAATACCAGATTTAACCAGGACTCAGGTCCCAGTTACTAATCTTTATTTTCATTATCTTGAATTGTAAAAACTCAAGTATTGAGTTTTTGCAATTTAAGATAATGAAAAGAAAATTTTAAATTCTTGTTTTTAGAAGCACTTGTTTTTCTTTAGATGCACGGCTGAAAATTTATGCTTCATTATCAAATTAATTAAACATGATTTGCGAATGAATACTGGCCCAAAACACTTGTATTTTGTTAAAGTTTATTATTTTTTTAATTGATATCATATATTATAATGGGGTATTTAACCAGTTTGTTATTTATTTTTATTTAATACATTTTAGTTTTGACGCACTTGACTCAAGTGCTTATGCATTATTTCAAGCTTCAAGTGATTTGAAAAGTGTTATTGAAAAGTGGACACAGCTGAATAGTGAAGAAAAACTTTCATCTGGCACTAAAAACTTGCTAAGTATTGAGACAAGTGTAATGACACCAATCAAACCTATGCTTGCTGATGCTTGCAAATCTATTGAACAAGCAATCAAAAAATGTCCTAACGGAATGTACTCTGAAATCAAGTATGATGGTGAACGTGTTCAGGTAAAGCTTTTAAAATGTTGCAAAACCTGGTTCCCTGGTTTCTTCATTTTGAATTCTTTTTGCTTACCCTTATAGCATACAGCTTTTTTTTTTTTTTAAAAAAAAAAAGAAAAAAACGAAGAATAATGAAAGAAAAAATTGCTATCCAGTCCTAAACCTCCGTAATTGATGTAGCAAACATTATTTGTTATTTTTGAATATATAAAATTTAGCCATGAAGAATTATTACTAAGATAAAAATTTAAACGAAGGAAAAAATTAAAATTGTCCCAAAAAAAACAATTGACTGTCAATTCTATGTGTTAGCTGGTCAGATTGATTTTTCACCTTAAATTTCTTATTTTCCATATATATATATATATATATATATATATATATATATATATATATATATATATATATATATATATATATATATATATATATATATATATTTATATATAGTGCTCGAAATAACGGCCGATCAACGATCAATGATCGGCTATTTTTAGGGAAATTTCGAAAAATCGAAGGAAAAATAACCTGTTTTTGTGAAAAATTACATTTGATCGGCAAACTTTGAAAAACTATTTCGAGCGCTGTATATATATATATATATATATATATATATATATATATATATATATATATATATATATATATATATATATATATATATATATATATATATATACACATATATAATAAAAATATTATATATGATAATATGTACTGACTATAAATAAAATAGTATTATATATAATCATATATACTATTGCTTAACTCATTAATGCTCATTTGTGAGTATTTGAAATGGAACTCATGGCAACCATAACACCCAAGTTAATGATGAGAAAAGTCATTTCACTTATTTTCATAAGAAAATGTGAAAAAAAGCATATGCAAATGTCTAACTTATGTCAACTTCAAATAATGTAATGTTAAAAATTATATTAAGTTTTAAAGTTTTATTTTTACTTGAAAAGTGCATTCTAGCAATATCTCTTAAATTTTGGTTTATAGCATTTATTTGTTGTTTTATAAAATTATTCTGTCTTGCTTATTAAATTGTGTTAAAAATTATTAGATTAGTGTGCCTCCATGGCTACTGAAGTCCTTTGTGGGGGTTCAAATCCTTTTATTTGCATATTTTTTATTTTTTTTTATCTTTTCTAATTTTCTAAAATACAAAATAAAACATTTTTAAAGTTTTATAGATATTATATACATAAAACATATTACATATTAAAAAAACCTCTATAAACATAATTTCAAAATTTCTATAAACATCAAAACAGAGGGAGTAATTTTTTGCGCATGTGTCAAGATAGAGATACTAATGTTATTGATGTGCTTCGGTAATTAGTCAAGTCTGCGCTTTTAATGCACATTTTATAGACAACTTTCTTTTTTTTAGGAAAAAAGATTTTAGATCTGAACTTTTTTAACAGGCTGAGGGTCCTAGTAGTACATTTTTAACAGGCTGAGGGTCCTAGTAGAAACTTAATGATGAAAAAAATCAATAAGCTCGTCCCTATTTTTTTAATAAAAGTTTACAATTTTACAATAAGAAGCTATAAAGTATTAATTGAGCATTAAATAAGTATTAATTGTTAACTCAAAACAAAGATTTAATGGTTTTTGTTTTTTACCACTTACTAAAAATTATTGAAATAAAAGTTGTACAAATAGTAAGTATAGAAATGGTCAGTTTGGAACAGACTTACCGAGACCCGTATTTTATGAGTCCGGATATTTAGTAATGTACAATGTATATACATAGTAAAGGCTTAAAATGTCACAGTTTTTCACTTTTTACCAATAAGATTCTTTGAATCCTCAAGAATCAAAACAACTTCAGTGAATAAAATCTATAAAACTTCACACATTTTTAATTTTTTAATTTAAAAGTTTACAAAGTGGAAAATGAAAAATCAGTTATTAGATTGAAGGTCAAACAAATAAGTGAAGTATTTGCTTTAATTCATTTTACAGGTGCATAAAAACGGAAACAAGTTTGAGTACTATAGTCGAAGTCTAAAGTCAGTCCAACCTCACAAGGTATGTCTTTTTTTTAGCAAGAGATAAAATTAAAAAAAAAAAAAAGGTCTCTTTTAAATTTTTTTTTTATTATTTACAAAAAAACATTTTGATAATTTTTGGATTTTTTTTACATATCATTTCATTCTATTCAAACCTAACACACTCAATATCCATTTCTTTTACTCAATCTAATTCATTGTGCACAGAACAAGCATTTCCTAACAAATAAATATTTACTTGTTAGAAAATGTTCGGATGGCTGCGTTTGCTATAGTTTCCAGAATTACTTTAAATTACTACATCATATTAACTACACTGAAACAACCTAATATCTTTAAGAAATCTTGTGTGAATCTAGCTTTTGCAAAGAACTCATTGGGGCTTCAATAAACTTCCAATATTGGTTAGAAAGAAACTTCCAATATTGGTTAGAAAGAAACTTCCAATATTGGTTAGAAAGATTTCAAACTATATAAAAAACCTTTAATTGATTATTTTGTTTAATATTTTGTTTATTTAATGTTAAAAATAATTTTTAAACAGAAAAAACATTGATAGGATTGATAGGAAAAGTTATTTTGTCTGAAGTTTTTAATATCCTGCATAAACATTTTAAAATAATATTAGTAATGAATATCCTAATGCATTATTATCTTCGATGGGCACTAGTTTTTTTTTTAAATAACATAATTCTTTTATATTTTGTACTTAAAGAATGACTCTATTTATATTTTTTTTGGTGCAAAACTTTGACAGTCTTGATTTGGCATAATAAATTCTAACTTTCTTTAATAAATTTACTAGAAGAGCTGAACTAGAGAAGAACTGAACTAGGGAACTCAGTAAAAGTATTACTATTTATCAAAATAGGATTGTCAGCAGTTTTATGATAGTTTAGTTTTGTTTAGGTCGAAATTCACCAGTTACTGCAAGCTTCAAGCTGTTATAAATCAAGAGATCATATTTAAGAATTGACTGCCTATTTTATATGATCAAATTGTGATGGCATTAATATATATCAGAAACAACAAGGGATCAAGAATGGAACCCTGTGGTATCAGAGATTACTAGAAATGAAGAAGATTGTTGTCTGTTTTTTGTCTGTTTAGTACCATTTCAATACTTGATTAGAAAAGAATGATTCAATAGTTTGAAAAAATTCAAACCAAATGAAAAGATATACCAAATAAAAAGAGCTTATGGAGAATATAATTATGCCAGACTTTAAAGAAAGTCTTTGATATGTCATAAGCAAAAAACTTTGCCTCACTACTACTACTTAATGCATGATGAAATATTTCTGTTATTATGGTTAACAAATCAGCAGTAGAGTACAAGGAATGAAATCTGTATTAATTGTTAGAGAGTATGTTGCAAGACTAAAGATGTATTATTAAAAGGTTTGTAAATTACAGATTCAAATACCTTGCTAATAATTATAAAAAACTGATTGGACAATAATTAGTGGGGTGAGAGTGATCATTAAAGTTTTAAGTTATACACTTATTAAATAGTTTATAGAGTATTGAAGTAAGTTATGGAGAATACTGTTGTAAGACTGTTATAATTGTTCGATGCTGAAAAAGATTTTAAATGAGAAAAAAATTTAGTGAATAAGTTTGAAAAGTCATTAAGGTAATCTAAGTTAGAAATTGAGGAAAATTTTGAGCTTCAGTGACAGGTAATTGGTACTAGAGCCATTCAGTGAAATAAGCAACAAAGTCACCAATAGCCGCAATATTAGCCATTTAGTGAGATAAGTCACTAATAGCCACAATTTTGGATGACAGATAAAGAAAAAATAGCTTGGTCTTAAAGACCAAACTATTATTAAAAAGAATCTTGGGAAAAAGGAGATTAAATAAGAACAAAAAAAAAGACAAATAAGTATGTAAAATACTTGTCAGAGGACTCTGTTTTCACATTTATAGATGAATATATGTGTATGACTAGACCAAGTATGTGACTATTGGAATCTTTGTGAGTCAGAAGATAGCTATTAACACTGAGATCAGAAAATAAAACAGTTTTTCAAGAATTTCAACAGAATTTCAAGATCCGAAGAATTCTCATAAAAAGAAAGTAGCTCTGAAAAAAGTTCAAATGATGAAAAAATTAAGTTACTTTGAAGACCACAATAATTTTTAAAAAATAAAGATCGTAGATAATTGTAAAAATATGAAGACCATAAATATTTGTAAAGAATGAAGACAATATTTATTTATGGTAAATAAATTAATATTTACCATAAAAAAAGCTGCCAAAAAAATTGTTATTTTAGATTTCCTCATAGAGAAAGCAATCACAGAGATAAGGAAACTATACTACTAGACAGATTCAGAACAAACAAACTGCGTTTTAGAGCTGTAGTCACATAAGGAGATAGCTAACAGAGTTGCATAGCCACTACCAAGGTAGCATAAGCAAAAATGTCTAAAAGATTAAGTATTTATTATCTCAGACAGGAAGCATAACATACGCTTGCATCTGGGCCAGACTATCAAATAAAAAATTTTTTAAATGAAGATTTTTTTAGGAAATAATTTTATAAAATTATTTCCCAAAAATATTCAGTATATTTCTATATTGTTTTTTCCAGAAGTTTACTTAATAACATAGTTAAGAATGAAGTATAAAAAAGTTTATAGCAATCAATTATTGATTGCTATAAACTTTTTTATGCAAATAACTGAACTTCAGAAATAGTTTTTTCATTTAAATCGTTTTTCAAGGTTAGAAAGAAAATTATGTATTATATTTGTTTTTGATATCTAAAATTAAAAATATATATATATATATAATAAAATAAAAAAATAAAAAATGTTGATATAAACTATTTGATATGTGTGATATGTTACTTTTAAATTTTTTTCAAATAATCAAGTGTTATAGCAATTAGTAAATTTTCAGAATGTTTATGGTTTTTAAAATGAGTGGAAATTTAAAGAAACAAAAAAAAAAAAAAAAAAACTAAAAAAAAAACTAAAAAAAAAGTGATGACTAGAAATTATCAATAAACTTGAAATACAAAAATATTTGTTGTTATTATTTCCATTATAAATATTGTTATTTTAGATTGCAGACATCACTCATTATTTGCCACAAGCATGTCCTGGTGGTGACACACTTATTTTGGATGGGGAGGTATAGTTTTTTAAACAATTACTAATTTTTTTATTATTTAATTTATTACTTACTGTTTTAATTACAATAGAGTACAGAAAAAAGTGCAAAATCTTGTATATTTTCAATAAAAGTGTCATTAAATAATAGCTTGAGAATCTTGATTTTTTAGGTTCTTCTTATGGACACAAACACAAATAAACCATTACCGTTTGGAACATTGAGCATTCACAAGGTTTATTCATTTTTTATCTTTTTTGCACTCAGTAGTTATAGTTGATTATAATCTATGCAAATTTAATAATCTATGCAAATTTATTCTAAGTATTGTTAATTATAGTTTTGTTTTTCTTAGAAGTCAAAGTTTGCAGAAGCAACAGTATGTTATGTTATATTCGATATTTTACAATTCAACAGTGAAAGTTTATTGAAAAGGTCTAAAAAAAAATTTTTACTAATTTTTGTTATTTCTAAAGTTATTGGGTCCAAGCATTGTATTTTTTACAATATCTATTGTACATGAGTGATTAATATAGTAGGCATAGTAAAGAGTTTTATTTTTACACTCAGTATTGTGTTTACATGATGTGTTGTGTTTATATGCTATATTATGATTGCATATTGTGTTTTTTTCACACTGTATTGCATTTACTTATTCTGTTGTGTCATTTACTTATTCTATTGTGTACACATTGTATTTTGGATTCACACTTTATTGTATCAGAGATCCAAACTCAGAGCTTCTTGCTTATGAAGGGTGCTCTCTACCATTACGCCACTATTGCATTTAATTTTAGTGTTAAAAATAAAACTCAATAAATTACACATTTATTAAATGTGTAATTTATTGAGTCTTCAAAAGCTGTATTGTCTTTCCATGTTGTATTTAGTTTATACACTGTGGTATGTCTGTGGATACACAGTGGTATGCAGTGTGTGGTATGTCTGGAATTTGTAATGTGTTTAATGAAGTTTTTTTTGTATTTTGATATTTTTTTGCATTTGATATTTTGATTTAGAACAAAAATATGAATTTTTACTAATAATTATTATTTACATAAGTTGTATTATAATAGTGTTATAAATGAATATATATATATATATATATATATATATATATATATATATATATATATATATATATATATATATATATATATATATATATATGTATATATATATATGTATATATATATATATATATATATATATATATATATATATATATATATATATATATATATATATATATATATATATATATATATATATATATATATATATATATATATATATATTGTAAATAATTTATTTTATTGGATTCAAAACTTTTATTACTAAGTATATGAAAGTTAAGAAATACGAAAATTATCTGAGGTTGTAGACAAAATGCTTAAAAAATTTTCTACATACTTTACCTACCAAAAATATTCTCATTATCAACTGTACTGAAGTTCTCACTTTTTAATTTTCATTTTACCCAAATTGTACTTTTATGACATGCTGTGCTTCCATCACTCATCATTCATTGTGCACGACTAATGACTCATCGTTCATTGTTCATGACTAATGACTTATTGCTAATTGTTCACTAAATTAACCATTTTTAATTTCTTTAATGCACCCAGATTCCACATTCCATTTTGTATTTATGTTACCCATGCTCTTTTAACCACAAACATCTTTAGCTGACTCATTTGATTTAGTTTTTATTTTTGCCCAGGCCACTATGTGAGAGACGTGAGATTTTGTGCAAGAACGTCAAAGAGATCAAGGGTAGAATTGTTTTTTCAGAGATGAAAGAAATTACAGTAAGTTTTAAATTATCAAAAACACTTTTTTTTTTTTAATTCAAAAAGTTTTATGTTTTTATTAGTTTATTACAAATGTTTAGAAAAGTGATGAGCTTCAATGCCAATTAAAAAAAGTGTTTAGTGAAAATCTTGAAGGGCTTGTGATCAAGGACATTAAAGTATATCTATTTTTGTCTAAAATTTATTTTTCTCTTCATGTTTTATTTCTCTTAAAAACATCTTAGATTAGCAGTTGTACCAATAACTAATAGCTACTGGTTTTTATGTTATGTCGAATTTGCAAACTTGCTGAATTTGTGAAATCAGCAAAATATTGCCTATTTAACTAATAGTACCTAAACTGCCTTGCTTGCTCTGCCTTGCTTGCTCTGCCTGCTTCTGAAAAGGAGTGCAATTACATGAACTGAGGGTTTGACACGGAGCAGCAATCTTTTCTATCATTATTCTTTTTTTTCTTTTCTTCTTTTTTTGATGAAATCAGAAATAATGAAATAAAAGATTGCTGCCCCATGCCAATGTAGCAGTGCTTTTTTGAGGCAGTAAACTGTTAGAAAGTCAATATATGTACTATATATATATTATTATTATAATTTTCTGTTATAATAATACTTTGCAAATTCATGAAATAGGCACTATTTTGTCAATATATATATATATATATATATATATATATATATATATATATATATATATATATATATATATATATATATATATATATATATATGTAGTATATATTTATATATAGGGGAGAGTGAGGCACATCTGAACACAGGGCACAGTTGAACAAAGCCTCAAAATCAACACAATTCATTCATCTATGCTCAACTGCGGGCGTTACACAGTGTTACGCTGATTATGTTAGTATTTAATTAAATTCGGATAAATATTCTTTGTTGTGAAGCTTGATATAAACAAATTGAGATTATTACTTTTCAATTCATATACAATAACAATTGTGGTTTATGGTAAGTTTATCGATATATCATGAATACTTTTGATTTTATCAGTAGATTTGTAACTCATGTATTTAGAAAATGCAACTGTACTCTATGATTTTAGCACATTGTTTATGTATGGTCATGTCAGTAGGTCATGTCAATGTGGGGCACTACTGAACAAAAATAATGGGGCACAACTGAACGTGTTCAGGTGTGCCCCCTGGTTTGTTTGACATGCCTCCATAGGTCTTGTTTGACTTTAAAATAGGCTTTCGCCTAATTAGTGCTACGATGCTGTTATTAATTCTTAGATCTGCAGTTCATTAGTCCTATATATATATATATATATATATATATATATATATATATATATATATATATATATATATATATATATATATATATACACAAATAGTATTGCGTACTAAGGTATACATACTACTATATATAAATATATATACTAAGATATATATATATATATATATATATATATATATATATATATATATATATATATATATATATATATATATATACAAATAGTATTACATACTAATTTTATATTGCATGTCACCTACAAAATACAACTGTTTTTATATTTCTTGGACATAATTTAATCCCACCAAATATAATTTTGTTTTCTTTAAACTTCGGAGTAAAGTTACAAGTAGAAAAATTTTAGTAAATCAAAATTTAACAATTTTTGTTTAGCTGTACCCCACTCTCCCCTATATATATATATATATATATATATATATATATATATATATATATATATATATATATATATATATATATATATATATATATATATATATATATATATATATATATATATATAAATATATATATATATATATAAATATATATATATATATATATATATATGTATATATATGTATATATATGTATGTATATGTATGTATATTTATATATATTCATATAAATACATATATATACATATATATACATATATATACATATATATATATATATATATATATATATATATATATATATATATATATATATATATATATATATATATATATATATATATATATATATATATATATATATATATATATATATATATATTTATATATATAACACCTCATAAATAAAATTTTGGACAAAATTTAAAAATTAATATTTTAAAAACTAATAAGTTTTATTATTTAATATTTCAACTGTTAATATGTTAGTACATGCAGTTTATAAATATATTTTTTAAATAATTATTTCAAATACCATATTTAGCAATATTATAAAGTTTTTTTAAAAGATGTTTTACTTGAGTAGGGAAAATTTCTTTATTCATCTTTGAATAAAGATGAATAATGATTCTCAGCTCTCCAATTATTCTCGTACACTAGCCGTTTTAAATCACCCCAAAAGTTTTCAATTGGTCTTGTCTCTTGAACGTTAGCTGGGTTTATATCTTTCGGTACAACTTTGATTTTTTTCAATTTTGAAAAGTCGATGACCAACTTTGCGTAATGTGATCGAGCTAGATCTAGTCAGAAGATAAGCTCATTGTCTTTTTTTATAATATTCTGATACTAGAAGAAGTAAAGTTTTTTCTAGTATCTCTTTATAAGTGTACTGGTTGATTCCCTGCTTACTGTGATGAATATAAAGAGGGCTTATTCCACGAGGGCTATTGCAATAAGAAACTAAGAGCTTGTCCTTGTACTTTTTACGCAAATTGTATCTTACTTCATCAGAACGTTGAGAAGGATCAGCGGCATAAAACCTATCATTACCAGCTAATGTGCTATTGTTTAAGGTAAAATAGCTTTCATCATCCTTAACAAAATCCAAGTTTTAATAATATTCGTACAATTTACGACATTTAGGACGCATAGCTTTCTTCTACTGATGGCTACGATCTGGTCTATTTGTTTTTTTGAAAGTTCAAATGTTAGTCATTGTTTTTAATACTTGGGAAATTCGAGTCTGACTACAGTTAAAAACTTGAGCTACTTTCTTTTGAGAGCACCCTGACTTATTTCCAAAAAATGCATCATCTTAGGAATATTTTCTTTAGTAGCTACCTTAGCGATTCGACCACTTCCAACTTTTCTTTTTAGAGATCCATTTTCCAATTTTACGATTTTATTGTAAGCAGTTGATCTGGGTAAACCCATTCCATAAACTGCTTAGCAACAAATGCTTTACCTTTTTCTCGATTTTTTTGGAAAAAAATTTCCATCATTTTTTTGAGGTCCTTTGTTTTGACCATTTTATTTTCAATATTTAAATAATATTTTTAACTTAATTGAATTAAATTTAAATATATTATAAAATCCTCTTTCAAATAAGTATAAAGGTTTTTTGCGTGCATAAAATAAATTACGTAATAAAGGCAATTAAAATTTGTCCAAAATTTTATTTATAGGGTGTATACATATATATATATATATTTATATATATATATATATTTATATATATATAATATATATATATATATATTTATATATATATATAATATATTTATATACATATATATATATATATATATATACATACATATATATATATATATATATATATATATATATATATAATATATATATATATATATATATATATATATATATATATATATATATATATATATATATATATATATATATATATATATATATATATATATATATATATATATATATAATATATATATTTATATTTATATATTTATATATATATGTTTATATAAATATATATATATATATATATATATATATATATATATATATATATATATGCATTTTTATTTTTACGTATATTTTACTTTTATTTATTAGTATTTATGTTGTTATCAAGTAATTTTCTCCTTTGGTTCTATCATTTCGATATATTATTTCTTTAGAGTATATATGAACCAGGAAAAAGACATTGGTTAAAGGTATTTGCAACTATTAAGGATTATTATGATATCTGATGTTTGATATGATTATTGTAATTTTAGGTTTATTTTAAATTCTGTTGCTTTTTTATTTATAACAAACATATAAATTTGAAAATTTTAACATATGACCTTTGAACAGCATTTTAAGTTACTAGTATTTTTAACTTATAACAATTACAGAGCGTTTGCTAAATCAAGGAAAAAAAGGAAATATCTGGGAATTCAGATGTCTGCTAAATAATCAGGGAATAATCAGGGAATAATTAGGGAAGTTGAGTTGAATTTTAAATCAGGGAGAAATCAGGGAAAGATTTACAAGATTTTTTTAAAAGTTGAGTTTTTGTAAAATAAATTAGAGAAAACGGGTAGAGAATCAGAAATATTAGAGAAAAATTAGGGAAATCCATCTTAAAGTATTGGCCAACACCCTGAATTAAATGAATTTACAAAAACGTGAAACAATGATGTTAATTAGTTGTCATATGTTTTTAGATGTTTTACAGAGTTAATAAGGTTTACAATTTTATTTTGAAGAGAATTTATTTATATAAAGTTTATATATCATTAGTGTAACTATTATTTATTTATTTTTTTGCTTTTTTAGAATTTTTTTTTGTATAACAATTGAAATTATTAGAGTTTCTAATTTTTATTATTACAAACATTTTACAGTCTTCTTTATTTGAAATTTAATGTCAGTGCATGAAATAGGGCTGGCCAAACGGTCTTTTTTGTTTTGGTGTGTGCAAAAAATTCATCTTTTTTTGCTATTTAAATTAAAATAAAAACAGCAAAAAGGATGTATTGAATTATTGCTAGATAAAAAAAAAGAAAAACACTGCCAAAACGAGCATTTTATTTTAATTCTACATAAAATAATTAAAATAAAAACGGCATAAAAATAAAAAGTTAAAAAACGTTTTATATAAATATTAAACAAAGTAATTAAAATAAAAACAGAACATCAAACGTTTTATTGAAATTCTAAATGAAGTTACAGAGAAAACACGGCAAAAAGAATGTTTTAATTAAAACTGTGAAGAAAATTTTTTTTTTAATGAAATTACTACATTAGAATGGCTTTTGTTTTTTTGGTAAGCACTTTTTTATGCGCTCGCTAAAGTCTTTGTGGGTGTGTGGGCAAGCATGAAATGGCTTGATTTTATAAATAAATTTTCTTTAAAAATCCCATTATAAACCCAATAAACAGTTCAACAATTTCTATAGAAAAAAACTTTAAAACAATTTTTATAGGACAAAAACTTTAAAAAAGTTTCTATAGAACAAAATATAAAATGCTTAGAAAAAAATAAAATGCTTAGAAACTTTTTAAAACATTTCATTATATGTTTCAAAATTATAAAGAATAATGACACTTTTTGATGAAATTTTAAATAAGACTTTTTAGAGAAATCTATTAGATTAGATTTTAATTTTGTATTAGATTAAAAAAGACTATCTTCAAGATGGCGCAATGGCTGACACTGCTGATCTTGTAGTTCTTGGTGCTTATTATGGAACAGGAAATAAAGGTACGCTACAGTTGTTAGAGTGTAAAGTTTGCTTTAAATTTATGTTTTTTGTATTAACTTTCACTTTTAAGGTGGTATGATGTCTGTATTTCTTATGGGTTGTTATGATCCCGATCAGAAAAAGTGGTTGACAGTAGCTAAATGTGGAAACGGTTTTGATGATGATACAATAAAAAAACTGCAGTCCTCTTTACAAATGAAAAAAATATCTAAGGTTCTCTTTTTTTTTTTTCTTTTTTTAAACAAGTTTATATAAAGAAAGTATATATAAGATAAAATTAAATATTTTTAAACTATTTTAATAATTTTTTCAGGATCCAGATAATGTACCATCTTGGCTTAAAGTTAATCGCTCTTTAATTCCAGATTTTGTTGCTGTAGACCCAAAGGTTAAAAATTTTCGATTTTTTATTAATATTATTATTTTAATTTTATTTCATTTATTTTATTATGCTTCTTTTACTTGAATTTGTGGTTTTAAAAAAAGATTTTTCTTTAGACTTCTCCTGTGTGGGAGATTACAGGTGCTGAGTTTAGCCAATCTACAACTCATACTGCAGCAGGGATTTCAATTCGCTTTCCTAGAGTTACTAAGGTTAGATCAGATAAAAACTGGAAAAGTGCTACCAATTTAAGTCAACTTCAGGTTATACTTTCATGCTTTATTTTTCTCTTTTTGTGAAGAATATTTTTCTGGAATGTGTTTGAATATTTAATTGTCTACATGTTGTTAAATGTTATGGTTTTTTTTCTGGTTGTTAAAGTTTTTTTTTCGAAGTTAATCAAGATGCAATATTGTTCTAAAGATATTATTGACAGTTAATAATTGTTACATCTTCAAAATGTTTAATATTTTCAAAATACCTTAGTTATTTTTACCTAAATAAATTAAATGTTTTTAAAAGTAAAAAGTAAAAGTAATTTTAAATAATTTTAACACAGTTATAAATTATTAATTTTGATGATTTTCTTAATTATATTTTTGAAAATTAACAAGAAAATAAAATCTTTTGTCTTATGTTCTATATTTAGAAGTTATACAACGAATCAAAGAAAACTACAGGTTAGCAAAACTAAAAATAATCATTTGAAAACATTTTTACATTTTATAAGATAAGTATATGGTGTAAACATAAAAAATAGCAGCATACTAATTTTCTCCTTTGTTTTATAATCTGGTCCATATTATTTCGATCATCATCAATTTTTTTTTATGTTAATTCACCTCCCCAAGGCCAAGAAGGCCACTAGAGACAAGGAGGCTACTTAACTAAAGTTAACAAATAAATACAATTCACAAAAAACTATAAGTAGGCAAAGACTTGAACAATGAAAAAATAAATCAACTATCAATATCAGACATAGATTGTTTTACTGGAAATAAAACTATATGAGAAATATAGAAAGAACAGTTAATGGCTGCAAAGGGTGATGCTTGTTTGTATAAAAAACGACCTACAAAAAAAATAAAAAGACACTTTAGAGATGAGTGTCTTACATCAGAAAATGCATTTAAAAGAGTAAATGATGAAGAAATTGAATGCTTTAAAAGATCAAGCAGCAAGGCAAAATACAAAACAAAAAAATTAATTTATCAAAAATAATGTACGCCAAAGTGTTAAAAATGAAATAGTTGACTTTACACCAATGTGAACATGTTTTTTTTGAATATATATTTATTATTGTAATAATGATTTTTAATCTTAGTATTTTGTTTTATGTTGTTCCTAATACTTTAAATGGTATAAATTTTGAAAACTGCAAAATGTTAGGCTTTTATTTCCAAAATTTTTTATTTAAATATCGAAAACAGTTCACTTTACCCCAGTTTACCTTACTATTTACTTTTTTACACTTAATTTTTTTTTTAAATGATATTTAAGTCTGTATATATCTTTTATGGAGTTTGATAAATGACTAGCATTTTAAAAACTGAACATCATTGTTACAAAAAATAACGAAAGGAAAAATGGCGAATATCCATACAAATTAAAAACTCCAAAGAGAAAAATTTATGTGAGAAACAAAAAGTTTATGTGAGAAACAAAATATTTATGTGAGAAACAAAAAAATTTATGTGAGAAACAAAAAAATTTAGGTGAGAAACAAAATATATTTTTCTTGAGATAAAATAAAAATAAAAATTTTTTTTGTAAAAAAAAAAAATTCTAAAAAATATTAAAAATAAAAATGTACTGTAAAAACCCCTAATTCCGGATGCAACCTAATCTTGGATGGTTTTAATAAAAAGTTTCATAACTCCCTTAATATAATGAATTTATGAATAATTTTTTTTAATTAATAAACGTCTTTACAAGACAAATCAAAAAATATAAAAAAAAAATTATATAAACTAATGCAATCATGAAAGATTTCAATTTGAAATCTCTCATAACTAAAAAAACAAAAAAAAGGAAAAAAAAAACTTTGACTTGCAACAAAAAAATTAAAAAAGTAAAAACACTATTTTGTGCAGAATTTTATGCTGATTATTTTAGCCAAAAAAAAATTAAATTACCCTTTGAAATAATTGAAAAAAATAAAAAACAAATTTGCTACCAGCCAAAAAAAAAAGACACCTAATTCCGGATAGAGGTAATTATTATTTTATGTACCTAGAAAAAATAATAAACAAATTAGCCAGCAGCAATAAACAAATACACTTTGGAGTCCCGGATACAGTTAATTACAATTGGCTATTTTATTTTTTATCACTTTCATGCACATAATATAATATATTATGTTCATTAAGGTGGTAGTATGGTAAAAATTTCCAATTTTTTGATTTTTTTTTAATATAACTTCTTAACATTTTCATTAATGCTGAAAACGATAGTGTTATTTATTTTTTGATGTGTTCTATATAAAACCGTCTATTTTTTATATAAAAAGTAGTACTATAGAATATTGCTCCTTAGCAACGGCATAGCAACAAGGTAAACACCATGTATATCATCTTATTGAACTCCCTGAAGCAAGTATTTTCTTTGAGAAATTACTAAGTGAATTTGGCTTCTTTTTTTGGCGTAAAAACATTAAACCAGCACTTATATAAGCAGTTTTCTTGTTGGCTATCGTTACGTAAACACATGTTATCTATTTCAGTTACTAATGTTGAATATATCTAGAGTATGATTGTTTATTGTTGTTTTATAAACTATTCAGTGTAGATTAAAATAAATTTATTATTTCTAATCAATTAATATGAAAACTGAAGTTTTAAGAAGGAGAAAAACTGGTGCCTCAAGAGTGTTTAAAAAAAGAAAAAGCACTTCAAAAAATCAAGTTAGGCAATTTTTTTCCCAAAATATAAAGATACTTCTGCGAGCCAAGAATTGTCATTAATTGATAGAAATGCTAAAAATTTAGCATTTTACTTAACTTTACAACATCAACCAGCAATGTTATTGCCAATAATGAACCTAAAGTAAACTATTTCAAAGTAAGAAGAAAGGAGTCTAATTTTGTTTTAATTGATCTTAATATAATTGTACAAACTCTTACCTTAGTTGAACATGCCCTGACTGAGAGCAATTCAATCAATATTAATATAGATCATAAAAATAAAAAAGGTTTAAGTTCTTTGTTGCTATTGAGTTGCATTAAAATTTTATGGTAAACAAAATTGTATACTAGTAAAAAAGTTGCAAGTAAAACTTCTGAAAAGTTTTTTGATATAAAATTACATTCAGTAGTTGCAATGTTACAAAATTATTTTGGAATTGTGATTTGTCAATGTTGTGGGAAATCTGTTAATAAACTAATAAAAGCTATTGAAGCTGTATTATTTAACTACTCTGAGCCATTATCTTCTGATGTAAGACATGCTATGTGTCCTCAAACTAATTGCAAATATAAAGGATATAAATTTGATAAAGCATATGTTAATAAAGAAAAACCTGGACTGCCTATTGTTATCAGGGACATAACCAGTATTCATAGATTATCAGATAAAAGCTTGTTAAAAAAGTGCCTTCATGGAAAAACTCGAAACAATAATGAAGTCTTAAATGCAATAAATTGGAATTGAAGTCCAAAAATGTTTGCTTTAGAGAAAGGTGCAGCATCAGCTGTTATTAAATTCAATGAAGGATTAACTGGTTTGTTAAATGTTTATTTAAAGCTTGGTATAAATCCTAACAAAAACTGTATTACATTTTGCAAACAAAGAGATTGTCAAATAGTTAAAAATATTGCTAAAAAAAAATTAACTGATGAGGTAAAGCAATGTCAGAAACAAATAAGGGCAAAATAAAAAGATTTTAGTGATCAATATGAAGAAAGTGAAGAAGTAATTTAAAGCTCTGGCAGTTTTGAGTGGTTTTGTTATATTTCAATTGATATAACTACTTATTTTAAAAATTTAAATTTGATTATCATAATTTATTTTTTTTTTAGTTCGAAGTTTTTATATTTCTTTTAACAAGGATACTAACTTCTTTATTGTACTTAAAAAATTAGTTAAAACTCATTATAAACTTAGTTTATTAATATTGTTGTTAGTTAATACATTGAAGAGTGATTAGAAATCTTTAAGATTAGAATGAGAGCTTATTTTATATTTTAATTTGTTTTTTTCGATGTTAATTTTTTTAAATTGCTGTTTTCTCAGAACAATATTTTTTAGCACGGTTCGATAAATGACTTGATAACTTGATAAATAACTTGGGAACTACTTGTTATGGTTCTTTAAAATTTTGTTCAGTTTTAATAATATATATGATAAACTCATTGAAGCAGTATATTTTTTTGATATTATATTTTGACAGAGTTATGGACTTTTAAAGGGGGCTGTTTGGGGGTAAAATTTGACCCGTTAGTTGTATATGCTGTATCTCCTTGGTGCTTTAAGCTTACTTTATAATTCTGCTTTCATGAGTTCTTTAATATAATACAAGTAAACACTGAAAGTTTGAGTTTTATAGCATCTACCATTGTCTCAATATTTATCGCAGCACCTATTGACTGTTTTAGATTTCACAACCCAAAACCTGGTCCAAATGTGAAATTTTAATTTTTTTTTAAATTTTATGTTTTTATGCAGTCTTTTAATATTTTATGAAATCAATACTGTTTGGTTAAAAAAAATGATTTTAGAATTTTGACCATACTACCACCTTAAAGTAATAAGAAATAAAATAGCCACAAGGGAAAAATAATTGACACTAATCCAGATACAGCTATTTTTTTTAGCATCCATAAAGTTAACACATTTGTGTTAATTGTATTACTGTATAAAAGAATATGGATAATTTTAAACAAAAAGAAGAGCGAGAGAGTCGAATCCAGCTAGCTATTCAAGCTATTACTGAAAAAAAAAAGTCATACGTACAAGCTGCTAAGTGTTATAATGTGGCAAAATCTACACTTTCTGACAGAACAAAAGGATCATCTAATAATCGAGGAGCGCCAAGAAAGATGAACAACATCACTGAAGCTATTATTGTTGATTTATTAAAATTTATGAGTGATATAAGCTTTGGCTTGAATAGAAAAGACGTGTTTATTGTTGTTTAAAACTATTTAAAAGAATCAAACCAACGTAGTCTATTCAAAAACAGCAAACCGACTAGAAAATGGTACTCCGGTTTCATGAATAAATATCGTAAAGAAATTTGCCCAAGGAAAGTAAGCGGTATGCAAACTATTAGAGCTGTGGCCACACAACCAGCTATAATTGACAATTGGTTTGAGCAATTAGCAGTAGCATATAATGTACATAATTTAGGCCGTTTCAAATATTTAACTGTGATGAATCTGGTTTGCAATTTGATCAAGGCAAATTCAAAATTATTTGTAGAAAAGGAACAAAAAACCCTAAAAAGCTAGCACCATCGAATGAAAAGCAAATGACGACAATCTTGACTTGTTGTGACGCATTTGGTAATTATTTACCTCATCAAATAATTTGGTAATTATTTACCTCATCAAAAAAAGGCAAACATGTTATGAAAGACTGGTGCAAAGGCGGTGCCCAGAATGTTTATTATAACAGTAGTAGTTCAGGCTAGATGGAATCCGAACATTTTTTTGTCGTGGTTTGAAACAGTTTTTTTGCCTCAC